AATTGCAATTAACTTTTTCAAATTTTGAATTCAAAATGACAGATAATAGTGCAATGGGTCTGAAGTAGATGGCGTTACGCGCGACGGCGGGTTGTATACGTATTAAAATTACGTTCACGGAATATGTAAATTACGTTACACTTGGTTTAAATAAAAATAGCGAGCGTAAACCATTTTCAATACATGTACATACGTATAGGTAACATCATTATTTGCATTGAATATGCAAAAATATTTGATTTGTATGTATAGAAATATCTTACAACCTGCAATGTAAAACGATGTCAATGTGACATATCTCCGTGATTGTAATTTTTTAATTGGCCAACTTTCAAGGTCAATTTCTTTTTGGTACTAGGACCAAAAGTATCCACTTTTTGTACAGTTGCCATAGTGAAAGCGACTAATCCGCAAAACGTCAATTTTAGGTACCGAACACTGTCACAAAATAGCGTCTTATTCAGGTGGTTGGAGAAAAAAACATTTTCTTATAGAATTAGTCTAGGCGATAGAGACTGTAAAATTGGCAAACTGGACATTTTGAGGTGGAAAAGAAAAAAATAGTGGAATATGTTCAGTTAGGTGTCAAAAACAACATATTAAAAATCCCACCCTTCAGACCCTGTGCTAAAGGCTCCAGCCACCCCACCATCCCCCAAAAATCGTGTTTTCGCTCTTTTTGGCTGATATCTCGCGATCTATGAGGTCTATATGAAATATTTTTAGCTGAAAATATTTCTCGGGAAATTTCATATAAGGCAGATACTCAGAAGTTAGCCTAGATGTACCTCTTTGCCTAGAAAATTCATAAAAGGAGGCGAAAATCATCATTTTCGTGTTTTTTTTGCGTTTTTTTGCAAAAATATCGCGACCGTCAGGGCTAGATGAAATATGTTTAGCTGAAAATGCTCTTCGTGCAATTTCATACGAGATAGGTAACTGAAGAGTTGGCGTAAAGTCACCTTTCACCTTCAACTTTCATGTGTGAGGAAATATTCATTGTAAAACAAAGTATTTCTATGTACCATTTATTCACGTAAAAACAGTATTTTCATATTAAAATATTCACACATTCATTTATACCTCAACGTAATCATTACCCTTATACTTATCCAAATCAATTCGTACTTTTTCGATCAGACTTCTTAATCAAAAGTTATAGACTAGAAACCAATTTGAAAAAAAATTCAAAGGGCTGTAACTTTTGTGCTAGTAGCCCAATCTTGGAACTGTTTGAAATTATGGATTCTACAGGCCACATTCTATAAGAAAATTTTTTTTCCGGGTCGATCTGAGACAATTTTTTTTTCGGGCTCAAAAAAAGGCAGTGTATAACCTTCCTTTTTTTACCAAAAATCGACTACACCAAAATTTCTCGGGAAAACACTTTTTCTTATTAATTTGGGTGCGTAGAATCCAAATCAATTCGTACTTTTTCGATCAGACTTCTCAATCAAAAGTTATAGACTAGATGCAGATTCCACTTCTTCAGGCTCTTCGACGTCCTCTAGTGGTAGTGGGTCGTCTGAGATTACCGACTCGCAGTTCTCGTCTTCCGCTTCACCTGATGCATGGGTACCCTGAAGAGACGACGTGGCATTTAGGCACGATGCTCCATGACACTGGACGCAGAGTTCATTACACTTCAGACCTACAAGAAGCATTATGTCAAAAAAATATTTATAATTATGTATACGATTATAATATTCTCTCGTGTGTCCTAAGTGTCCGGTAGAGAAGGTTTACCTGATTTCCTGCAACTGTTTCAGAAAATCAGGTAAACCTTCTCTACCCGACACTTAGGAGTTAGGACACACGAGAGAATATTATATTCGTATACTTAATTATAAAATTCTTTTGACATAATACTTCTTGTTGTAGGTCTGAAGAACGAATTCTGCGTCCAGTGTCATGGAACATCGTGCCTAACTCTTCAGTTACCTATCTCGTATGAAATTGCACGAAGAGCATTTTCAGCTAAACATATTTCATCTAGCCCTGAAGGTCGCGATATATTTGCAAAAAACCGCAAAAAACACGAAAATTGATGATTTTCGCCTCCATTTATGAATTTCCTAGGCTAAGAGGTACACACCTAGGCTAACTTCTGAGTATCTACCTTGTAAGAAATTTCACGACGAGCATTTTCAGCTAAAAATAATTTCATCTAGCCCTAAAGGTCGCGATATATTTGCAAAAAGCCACGAAAATTGATGATTTTCGCATCTTTTATGAATTTCCTAGGCTAAGAGGTACACCTAGGCTAACTTCTGAGTATCTACCTTGCATAAAATTTCCCGAGACATATTTTCAGCTAAAAATACTTCATATAGACCTCATAGATCGCGAGATATCAGCCAAAAAGAGCGAAAACACGGTTTTTGGGGGATGGTGGGGTGGCTGTAGCCTTTAGCACAGGGTCTGGGGGGTGGGATTTTTAATATGTTGTTTCTGACACCTAACTGAACATATTCCACCATTTTTTCTTTTCCACCTCAAAATGTCCAGTTAGATGTCTTTATCGCCTAGACTAAATGTGGCCTGTAGAATCTATAATTTCAAACAGTTCCAAGATGAGGCTACTAGTTCAAAAGTTACAGCCTTTTGAATTTTCTTTCGAAATTGGTTTCTAGTCCATAACTTTTGATTGAGAAGTCTAATCGAAAAAGTACGAATTGTTTTGGATTCTACGAACCAAAATTAATACAAAAAAGTGTTTTCCCGAGAAATTTTGGTGTAGTCGTTTTTTGGCAATGAAGGTAGGTATACACTGCCTTTTTTTTGCCCCGAAAAAAAAATTGTCTCAGTCTCAATACATAATCAAAGCTTATGCTGGTGCTCCATAAATTCTGATATACTAAAGGGTTCAATTTGAATTAATATGCTTTTCATCGCTCTTTTGGATTCATTAAGACTACTTAAATTTTGTATATTTGTTGGAAGTCTATTATAAAATTTGATGCACGAATAATAGCAGTTCTTCTCCGTGTCAGTTCGTCTATGCATGGGTATGTTGTACGACGCCTCCAGCTTCCTTGTATTGTAGCTGTGTCCGATTTTATCGTCACTAAATAAAAGTTTATTCTTGAACATAAACACTATTTCAAATATATACACCCCTGAGAAGGTAAGAATTCCATTACCTTTAAATACGCCTCTGCAGGATTGACGGTATGATAACGAGAAAATGGACCTGATTGCTCTTTTTTGTATTAAGAAAACAAGAAACAATTAATTAATGTATAAGTCTTAAAATGGATTAATTTGTGACAGTAATTATAAGCGCGAACTATTCATTACTTCGGCGTTGAAATTGGAACTGATTGAAACGCAATTTGATTTGCTTATGCAGCAAACTCCGTTCTTTCTGGAGGCTCCCTAGTATTCTAGAATGTTCTCTAACAAACACGTCGTATTTCCCGGAAAGATTGCGTCACATCTGTCGCTCTTTATCGCCGACTGTTCTTTCATGGCACCACGGAATTTCTGGCATATTCGCTATAATGATTCTTGATATAAATTCGACTGATAACAGCATCTAAAACAGTCTTGACAACTACCACCAACGCCAAAGTACATGTTTCACGGCGGAAGCAGTGCGGTGGACGGTTGACAATTTTTATACATTTTTTTTTTCAAGAAATCTCAATTGCGGTTGCCCCGACAGGATCTTAAAATTTCTTCTCGTAATCGAACAGGTCTGGCATTTATTAGATTATTAGGTAATACTTTATTTTTAATATCAGAGAAATTATGTGAATTTAAAAACGAAAGATCCATACAGAAATCTGTATACTCGTACTTTGTGAAAATCTCCCTTTAATCAATTCAATGTTTAAATAACTTTAGTAAAAAATAAAAACGATTGTGCAAAATTTCGGCTTTTTCCGGATATCTCCGGAAATAGTCGAAATTTTTTCAGTTTCAAAACTGCATTTTGTTAAGCATCAAAATACGCAGCTTTGCCAAATTTAAACTACCTACCTATCTCTTACAGTTCCCGGGATCCTCATAGTGACCCTCGAATTTGAATCAGCCTGTATACTATATTCCATACAAATGGGCACCCTGTATAACAAAAAGGTATAACAGATTTGAAAAATTTACAGCCGCTTTTGAAATCTGGAGGGACGTACATACAGTTTCGGTTCTATTACATTAAAAATTGGGAAATCGCCTACGGTACCGCAACCAACATTACATAGTGGCGTCACGATGTCGCTACCCGCTACCATATTGAAACATTTGTAAAAAAAAAATGATAAAGCACAGCAAATGAGATATCGAACGCTCTATTTGTTATCAACTTATCACCAGTTCCTAAAACTCAGCTTTCATAGATTACATCGCGTATTTGTGACCTGGCTGCGTGTACCAACATTCTATTGTACAATATAACTCCCCATCGGTTCAATAATTCAATACCCCTAAAAAATATTCTCCCCGTTTGTCCTCAAAATGTGCCCAAACTGCACGTCACTGAAATGATGTGGACTTAGGTCCTTTTCCAATTTCTCAAACAAATAACGGCCACTTGGACTATACGGGGTTGGAGGGGTAGGGGGGATAATTCAATTGTTCAAAACCGCAGTTAAGAATTGCTACTTGTGCTACGTTGCCCGCCTCTATCAAAGAGATATAGGTACACTTTGCCTCTATTAATTTTGATTTGTTACTTTATTTTACCACGCAATTTAAATATACTCTCATGTAAGTGATATTCTTACGCATCTATGTATTTTTCTTTCTTCCTCGTTTAGTTTAGATGTCATTAGTTGGGTCTCATTTACAATATCTTTCTATTTTCGCCGTCAGTGGTCCAAGTTACATCTAATTGCATCTCTTCTTTTAATTTTGTCTTGGGCACCAGCTGTACCTGTTCCTTTTCAGAGATGATCTCGCCTTCATAATGGTTACGTGCAACTTGTTCTCGATACGGCATTATAGTGTTACTTGACTTATGTCTACCTGAAAAAGGCTCTTTGTTTTGAAAAAGAAACTTTTTTAGTTAATTTTTTATTTTGCGTATATGTTTAGGAAGCTCAATATCTATTTTCTTCGATCCAGTCCGTAAAGGCGGACACTCTGGTGAAGGCATCAGGATAACCAACGGCACATGCGTATACAAAGGATACGATACCAATTTGCTTGTTGGTCACTAAAGGACCACCAGCGTCACCATGGCAGGCACCCTCGCGATATTTAGTGAAAGTGCAAACATGCGTGCGATCGATGAAGCTACGAAAGAGAAGTTTGGCGCAATATTCATTCGTAATAGTCTTTAGATCGATGTGTTGGAGTTTGTTTGGAACTCGTCCACCAACCTTTAACACTCCCCATCCACTCAAAACACAGTCGACGTCGGCACCGAGGTATTCAGTTTCCAAATCGACGGCTTTCACTTTATCCGTAAATGAAATGGGAGTTTTCAACTTTAAAAGGGCGATGTCATTTGTCAAGCGCCACGAGTCGTATCCGGTGTGGGCCCTGATCGATTCGATTTCGTATGCAATACCTCCTGAGTTGAGTTTATTCGAACCTACTACAACGCGCAGGAAACTCGGACTGGATCTAGAAGTAGACACGTGTTAAAAGGATAAAGTTGACATTTCCAAAGGGTACTCACCCAGTGACGCATTGTGCGGCGGTCATAACCGTAGTCGCGTCAATGATGGAACCACCACACTCATGGTTCCCTAAGTTTCTCAGTGAGACTTGGTAAGGATACGCTCCTTCTGGTGCATCACTACCACCAACGATCCTCCATTCGTACCCGACTTTGGGAACTGTTCCAAACAGATAGTTAAGTGGAGAAACCGCACCTAAAGTGCCCGAAACGAATAGAAGTAGCAGACCAGCGTTCATGTGGAAATGAATGGATAGATTCACACTAGGCCCTGGACATTCAATTTTGCTCTTATATACGATTTTGATAGTATGTTTACTCTAAAAATTTAAAGTGTTACTTCAGATAACGTCAGTAACAAATAAAGGCTATCTTTGTATAACTATAACCAGGTAAGCAAGATAACATAAAAGCTTGTTTGCGCCCTTACAAGTATATGAGCACTTACTTGAAATTTGCCTTTCTAACAATTTTTGTTTGATAATAGCACAGTAACGTATATCTGTGCTACTACATTAACATCCGTTGCGAAATGTATATATTTGCGCCGAATTCGACAACCACACCTTGCAAAATTCGCCCGCCATCTTATTGAAACCGATCACGTGATACCTACATTACGTCCTGGTGACATACTTTCATTGAAGTTGTTTACACTGCAATATTGTTCCTGGATTATACCTAACTGCAAGTATCGCGAAACCGAATTATTGCTTCAACCGATACCGACAATTACATCTTACCGATACTTCAATTTTGTGTACATTATATTTTGATTCATTCATGTTACTTTGATTACGTTGTATCCTTCAAATTAGTTTATTATGGGAACATATCAGTTACCGTTGCTTGGTAAATTAGTTTTTAAAGTTACGGAGACCTATTCGGGAACTGACATCTACAATTTTTATTTACGTTACTTGTATCGTTACGAAAAATTTGCTAGCATTAGTTTACTTATATTTAGAATTAATTACACTACATGTATTGTATAGAAATTTAGTTATGTGTGCATCGTAAAGCGGCTTTCTTGAGTTAACGTCACATTTATTCTTTTATTTCACCAATTTGTACGGACAATTCATTGTCGATCAAAATTTTGCTTTTCGAATTATTGATTCTTGTTGAGTATTAGTACCCTTAGTGTCAGACATTGCTACGGCAATATATAGTCATGCCGCGTTATTCACCTACCTTTTTTTTGTTTGTGTTGTTATCTGCTACAGATAAGGCATAAAAACGCCCTTCTGAGCTCAAAAGGTAGTTACGACCAGCTTTTCAAAGCTAATTTTTTATTTTCGACGATTCTTTAATATAACGGTTGATTACATCATACTTTCCTGGTTTTCGTTACAGTCGAATTGTACATTTGTTTGAATAGTCATTTAAAAATTAGGTAAGTAGCTTCGTTGTTCTCTGCGGAAGCCTGTTTCGATTTTGAGAACTTTCCAGACTACGAGATCATCCTCTTTTAAAATGGAGTTAAATTTGAACATTTCACATCTAGATATTACAGTGTCATATTAGTAATATTTTGAGATCATTTATTAAATCAACCTCGATTGGGACAACAATTATTATTCTTTATGTTCTACCCTGCCAATTATTTTATTTCTTGAGCTTATGAAGACCAGAACAAGGGTCGTTTTGGCTAATGTACAAGAACCCCGTTATTCGCACCGACTCACCTCTACTATACCTGAGCTTGCCGTGTAATTTTTTTCCGTTTGCTCAAAATGAACGTAACAGATTGATTAGTATAAATGCTACCTTAATTGTCACGGATACAATAAACAAAACAAAACCTCCATGAATTCATAGCCTACTCTTGTGTAGATAAAGCGCATTGTTTGTAACCAAAATAGCTTTTGTTTTGACATCATCAATGGATATATTTCTTGCATACGTCTCAATCCCCATTTGTGAGTACCCTCTTCCGACAATCCGTTCTTGAGGTATATACCCGATATATACCCGATATACCCGATCACGATAAGAGGTCGAGGAGGAGGGTTGGTAGAAGTTAATTCCTTTCGTTGAGACCTTTCATTAGAGTACCATGAAGGATAAAACTAGTTCCCCCCCCCCTCCACCTCGTACTTTGATAAGAGGACAGAAGGAAGGGCAGTAGTTGGTAGAAAACGGTTCCTTTCGTTGAGACCTTTAATTAGAATACAATTAGAAATGAAATTAGAATTAGAAATTAGAAAAAGAATTAAAAATCATTGACGTTAAGATATACATGGTGTTGCATTTAAAAAATGCCAAATTTGGGCCAAATCTCAAAAACAGCTGAGATACATTACAGCTTCAACCAAAATGGGGATCGTTGTATTTGTAATACAGTATGTAGTTTCTTTCCGATTCATATAAAAATATGAAGTTAATGACAGTTTCTCAAAGATGCAACGCCTCAGAGAAAATCCGCGAGCACCATCTTGTAGAGCTTAAAAAGTGCCTATGAGGAAATGTTTGTTTTTTGATATCTTTTCAAACATGCTCAGAAGAACTGATCGGAATTTCCGAATTGTTAAAAGAATTATTTTACTAAGCCCTAAGCAAGCTTTTTCTTTGTATCTCTTATGAAGAAACGCTGTGCATAAGGGTTATTCACTGAGCTCCTTCGGCTGAAGAATGTTCAACATTGTACGTCTTTCGCTTATAGGTACCGGCAGTTGGCTCAAATAGGATCACCTGGTCTGTGCAACATTTTTTTAAAATTCAAAATCATATTTGGCGGTTTTGAAGATGTGAAAACTTTATTTTTTTAGGCAACTTAGTACATTTTCAAAATTTTCAAAGAAACTCAAACAACAATTTAAAAAGCTTTCGATTTAGGTTTATGGTACTAAATTAATCAAAATTTGGCGTAAATAAATAACAGACTGTGGCCGTAAGCAACATTTATTGTGGAAATAGACGTTATTTATGAAGGACGTTGTGTCCTTATCGCTCCCCTTTTCCAGTTCACTGCACGAACTTTGTTATAGAAAGAGAATCGCGTGGTCATAGAGAAAAACGGTATACCCGCCAGTGCTATACGTGCCCGCAAATAAGGGTAAGTGCAGTATCTTAACCTTACTATCTTAATGTTATTTTATTATATAAACCACGCAAACATTAGATGATCCTTCGAGCCGGATCGAAATTCAAAAATTACCCAAATTTTAGAACCTGTGTTTCTTCTTATTTTATTGCTGTGACATGTGGGATATCTGTTTTAGGAATAAGGTTAATGTGTCGAGGAGAAGGCTATGGCTGGTAAAAATTAATTGTTTTCGTTGAGTTATTTCATTAGAGGTAGTTGTTAGAAAACGGCTCCTTTTGATGAAACCTTTCGTTAGAATAGCATGAAAGATAAAATCAACTCCTATCCCATCCCCCCACTGATCTCGAAAAGGGGTCATGCAGGAAAGTTATAGTGTACCCCTCCCCGCCACTAGTTTCAAAAGTTGGCACCGTATGCAAAATCTGAGACCAATTGGTTGTCGGATGTAAAAGTTATTTCACTTTCAAAAAATAGCATCTCAGGAAATGATTCATGGGGGGAGCGAAATTTAATGGCCGTCTGACACACCTTCGATGTATAGGCTACTTATTGCAAAAAATTCCAGGATAATTCCCTTAAAGGTAGTTTAAAACCGCAGAAGTGGGTCCGGACGAAACGGGCGGATAAACGTTTTTTTTTACTCTTAAAAAATGCGCTAAAAAGACTATAAAGAGCCCAGAAGACCCAAAAGGGTATGAAAATGTTTCTCCATGTTACCGCAGTTATGCAACCAATCTTACATGGTTGCACTAAATTGTATTGAGCGTTCGGGAAGTGGTCTCATCTCGCCATATCTTCTTTACGACACGGAAAACATGCACTTTCCCGCCGTGGTACACAAAGTACTATTACTTTTCATTAAAAAAAAGCTATTTAAAATAAGATAAGAATTCTACCTGCGGTCTATTAAAACCACTATTCCTAATGAATATTGTTCTGGTTGGATCGGCGATAACCCTCGGCTTGTACAAAAGAATCGACCCAAGTTTTGCCGGAAGTGTTTGATTGAAATAGTGCTTTATTCGGCACATTCGTAGACCAATTCCTTCAAATCTGACAAAGTAACGTCTTTGTCGATTTCTCTGACGTATTCCGCCTCTTTGGGAGGAAAAACCTGCCCAAACCTTTACATCTGAAACAAAAATACGATATGCTCTGTATATGACCATAATATATTACTAAAGTTAGGTGGCTCTGCTTGTAGTTTGTTCCCAGAGTTGCCAACGGTAAGTATAGGGTAAGTTAACGTTTTCAGTGTCGGCTTGATAGACCACTAGGATCATAACAGATCTATAGTTTCAATGCGGCGTTTTGGTTTAGGAAAAAGAAATTGTTTTAGTTTATAATTTTTTTAATTTATTATATGTTCATTCAATGTCTATTTTCTTCGATCCACTCCGTAAAGGCGGACACTCTAGTGAAGGCATCAGGATAACCCTTAGCGCATGGCCGCCCAAAGGACACGATACCAATTTGCTTGTTGGCGACCAATGGACCACCGGAATCACCATGGCATGCTCCTTCGCCAGCCTTAGTTAAAGTGCAAATGTGCGTGCGATCCACGGAGTCGTGATTGAGGAGCTTGGCACAATCTTCGCTCGTAATAGTCTTCAGATCGATGTGTTGGAGGTTGTTTGGAAGGGATCCTGGATAGTTCAACCTTCCCCACCCACTCAAAACACAGTCTACTTCAGCACCGAGGTATTCACTTTCTAAATCGACGGCTTTCACTTTATCCGTAAATGAAATGGGAGTTTTCAACTTTAAAAGGGCGATGTCATTTGTAAAGCGCCAGGAGTCGTATTCGGTGTGGGCCCTAATGGATTCAATTTCGTACGTAACGCCTCCTGAGTTGAGTTTATTGGAACCTGCTACAACACGCAAGTAACTCGGATTGGATCTAAAAGTATACACGCGTTAAAAGGATGAAGTTCACATTTCTAGAGGGTACTCACCCAGTGACGCAGTGTGCGGCGGTCATAACCGTAGTCGCGTCAATGATGGAACCACCGCAGTTATGGCTCCCGAAGCTTCTCAGTGAGACTTGGTAAGGATACGCTCCTTCTGGTGCATCACTACCACCAACGATCTTCCAATCGTACTCGTCTTTAGGAACTGTTCCAAACAGGTAGTTAAGTGGAGAAACCGCCCCTAAAGTGCCGGAAACGAGTAGAAGTAGCAGACCAGCGTTCATGTCGAAATGGATGGATAGATTCACACTATGCCCTGGACATTCAATCTTGCCCTTATATACGATTTTGATCGTATGTTTACTCTAAAAATTTAAAGTGGTACTTCAAATAACGCCACTAACAAATAATGGCTATTTTTGTATAACTATAACCAGGTAAGCAAGGTAACATAAAAGCTTGTTTACGCATTTACAAGTATATGAGCACCTACTTGAAATTTGCCTTCCTAACAATTTTTGTTTGATAATAGTGAGTGTTTTATTTACGTTTCCATTGGACTTTTAAACTCCATATGTACATGAATGACTCTAGAAAATATTAAAGTCAATACCAAAGTCCTTCATATTGCGATAAAGTACTACAAAGTACTTCTAATTACCTTCTTATTCTTCTTGAAGTGTGGAGAAATGGGGGGAAATTCAGTTCTAAAGACTCTATTAGCTGCTAACTCTTGGTCTACTGGTTCCAAAATAGGAGGCAGGCAGTAAAAATCTGACCTTTTGAGGCGGGGATCAGTGGATTGCACGAAAAAACAAAACAGACATAAAAAGTAACATAATATTGAGGAAAACGGTTCCTCCTAGGAAATGGCCCGCGATCGCTTGCTAGAAACTCAGAAGAAAATCAGACGACCAGTTAAACGTGAAAGGATCCATCCGACATGGCCAAACAGAAACTAAACCGCAGGGAATGTCTCAGGATGCCCCTCAAAGTCTGCATTAACCCACTGAAGCACCGGGCTGCTTGGGCAACCTGTGTTCAATGCCTGCTCCAGCGAGAGAAACCCGCCCTAAAATGCCAATTTCGAACGAGTTCTTTCTTCTCTATCACATGTCAACACATGAGTAAGAAAGAGATGGTAACATTTTGAAATAGTTCACAGTGTGTAATTGGTGAAAATATTTTCAATTACATATGCCTTTTGGTCTGGACGTGAAGGAATAACATTTTGTAATTAATTGTATGTAATGTATCTTAGGTTTTGTAAACGTATCATTTGTTGTAAGCAGAGCTGGGCAGAATACTTTAAAAAAGTATTTGAATACTAAATAGTAAATACTTTACACAAATCAAAGGTATTTGAATACTAAATACTTTTACGTCCAGCACAAGCGAATACTAGATACAGATACATTGAAAAGTATTCAAATACTTTAAGAAATAAGTATTCAAATACTTTAGAATGTATTCGAATACTTTCAAAAGTATTCAAATACTTGTCCCTCAAATATATTAAAAATTTAAAAATAAAATTTCTTATAGAATGTGGCCTGTAGAATCCATAATTTCAAACAGTTCCAAGATTGGGCTACTGATTCAAAAGTTATAGCCCTTTGAATTTTCTTCTTCTTCTTTTCTTTGTTTTCCCGAGGAATTTTGGTTTAGTCGATTTTTGGTAGAAAAAAAAATTGTCACAGATCGACCCTGAAAAAAATTTTCTTATAGAATGTGGCCTGTAGAATCCATAATTTCAATCAGTTCCAAGATTGGGCTACTGATTCAAAAGTTACAGCCCTTTGAATTTTTTTTCGAAATTGGTTTCTAGTTCATATCTTTTGATTGAGAAGTCTAATCGAAAAAGTACGAATTGTTTTGGATTCTACGTACCAAAATTAATAAGAAAAAGTGTTTTCCCGAGGAATTTTGGTTTAGTCGATTTTTGGTAAAAAAGGAAGGTTATACACTGTCTTTTTTTGAGGCCCGAAAAAAAAATTGTCTCAGATCGACCCTGATAAAAAATGTTCTTATAGAATGTGGCCTGTAGAATGCATAATTTCAAACAGTTTCAAGATTGGGCTACTAGTTCAAATGTTACAGCACTTTGAATTTTTTTTCGAAATTGGTTTCTAGTCTAACTTTTGTTGAGAAGTCTAATCGAAAAAGTACGAATTGTTTTGGATTCTACGCACCAAAATTAATAAGAAAAAGTGTTTTCCCGAAAAATTTTGGTGCAGTCGATTTTTGGTAAAAAAGGAAGGTAATACACTGCCTTTTTTTGGGCCTCGAAAAAAAAATTGCCTCAGATCGATCCGGAAAAAAAATTTTCTTATAGAATGTGGCCTGTAGAATCCATAATTTCAAACAGTTCCAAGATTGGGCTACTTGTTCAAATGTTACAGCCCTTTGAATTTTTTTTCGAAATTGGTTTCTAGTCTATAGCTTTTGATTGAGAGGTCAAATCGAAAAAGTACGAATTGTTTTGGATTCCACGCACCAAAATTAATAAGAAAAAGTGTTTTCCCGAGAAATGTTGGTGTAGTCGATTTTTGGTAAAAAAGGAAGGTTATACACTGCCTTTTTTTCAGGCCCGAAAAAAAAATTGTCTCAGATCGACCCTGAAAAGAAATTTCCTTATAGAATGTGGCCTGTAGAATCCATAATTTCAAACAGTTCCAAGATTGGGCCACTAGTTCAAAAGTTACAGCCCTTTGAATTTTCTTTCGAAATTGGTTTCTAGTCCACAACTTTTGATCGAGAAGTCTAATCGAAAAAGTACGAATTGTTTTGGATTCTACGCATCAAAATAAGAAAAAGTGTTTTCTCGAGAAATTTTGGTGTAGTCGATTTTTGGTAAAAAAGGAAGGTTAAGTATTTAAATACTAGGCGAAGTATTCGAATACTTTACGAAGTATCCAAATACTTTGCGAAGTATTCGAATACTAAATATTTGTGAAAGTATTTGAGTTACAAATACAAATACTGCTTCCATAAAAGTATTTAATTACAAAGTATCTGAATACTTTAAAGGATTTGAATACTAAAAAGTATTTACAAAATCGAATACTGCCCAGCTCTGATTGTAAGTTTAAATTTAGAATAGGGGGAATGTACTCGGCTGAAGAAAGACGGTAAGTTTCAATCAGTGCGATCGAAGTCGTTGTGAAGCTCGATAATCGATAATTTGTAGCCGTCCGTTACAAGTGACGCAGGGCTCACCATTCGTGAATACAACCATTATGCTTCTAGTCACTAGGACTAAGACTAGGACCCTAAGGTTATACAAGAAGGAGATTAGAAGGCGTGTAAGAGAGGCATAGACTTTTTACAGCTCTATACCCAGCTAGTCTCAGAAAAGGGGATCGTTACTATACACACCCGTGTTCTAGGGGAGACAACTAAGCGCATTTTGTGTAGATAAAGTGCATTTTTTTAAAAACCGAAATAGTTCTATAAGATAGTGGCATGCTACTATTCTTCACCTTCACCTACAGCTCATGGACCACGTGCAAACCCAAAAGTTAGCGCCCTCAACTAACCATTACGGCACCATGTTTTGCTACGTTCGATATTTTATCTCATTATGGCATACCTTAGTGTATTTTAGGTATTGGCGAGTCATTAATGTACTTACCTAGGAGTTCAAGAGTATCGAAAGGTAAACACTTACTCTTATCAAACGAAAATAATTCCGAAGTGCTCAACAAGTAAGGACACATCAAGGTCTTCGTTGCAAATGCATTTCCTCTTGGCTGTTCTTATACAAAAATGGTTTTTTGAAAATGTCAAGAATTACACCCATAGCCTCTACGATGTTAGTGGGTTAAGTCTCAATCATCATGACATATGGCTAAGTGAAAGTATCGACCTTACTATCTGAAGTGCCACTTCACAATTCTACAGTCAACATCCCACCAGAATCGTATATAAGGGTAAAAGTGAGCGTGTAGGGCATAGTGTAATTCTATCCATCCATTTCGACATGAACGCTTGCCTGCTACTTCTATTCGTCACCGGCACTTTGGGTGCAGTTTCGCCACTTAACTACCTGTTTGGAACAGTTCCTAAAGACGAGTACGATTGGAAGATCGTTGGTGGTAGTGATGCACCAGAAGGAGCGTATCCTTACCAAGTCTCACTGAGAAGCTTCGGGAGCCATAACTGCGGTGGTTCCATCATTGACGCGACTACGGTTATGACCGCCGCACACTGCGTCACTGGGTGAGTACCCTTTGGAAATGTCAACTTTATCCTTTTAACACGTGTCTACTTCTAGATCCAGTCCGAGTTTCCTGCGTGTTGTAGTAGGCTCGAATAAACTCAACTCGGGAGGTGTTACGTACGAAATTGAATCCATCAGGGCCCACACCGGATTCGACTCCTGGCGCTTGATAAACGACATCGCCATTTTAAAGTTGAAAACTCCAATTACGTTTACGGATAAAGTTAAGGCCGTCGATTTGGAAACTGAATACCTCGGTGCCGAAGTAGACTGCGTTTTGAGTGGATGGGGAAGATTGAACTATCCTGGCTCACTTCCAAATAACCTCCAACACATCGATCTGAAGACTATTACCAGCGAGGATTGTGCCAAACTCCTCAATCACAATTCCGTTGATCGCACTCACATTTGCACCCTAACTAAGGCAGGCGAAGGTGCATGTCACGGTGATTCCGGTGGTCCATTGGTCGCCAACAAGCAAATTGGTATCGTATCCTTTGGACGTCCATGTGCCAAGGGTTATCCTGATGCGTTCACCAGAGTGTCCGCCTTTACGGACTGGATCGAAAAAAATAGATATTAAGCTTGCTCGATTCGAATAAACAATTAAGTATTAATTTCTCCAATTCTTTTCTCCCTAACCCCAAATGGGACATTGGCTGTTCAAGATTTTCCTCATTTAACATCAAAATTCTGCCAGTACATATCTGTCGTTACATCGATCGGTGACCCTGATCTCCTTGCGAAGCTGATTTTTACAAATAAGTGTGTGGGGGGTAACCCAGAAATAAGCAGCTATATAGACCAAAACCCGACATCATGGACCAAGCGTCTCAGATCGGAAGAAATCACCCCAGAGTCTGGCTCAGGGAAGCCTGAGAAGAAAGCTAGACTCGCTGCGGTGGGCAGGGTCACCATCGTTTCCGTATCGCACCCGGAAGTGGACATCATTGAATTTCAATCGTCTCTTCCTAGTTGCAGAGTGATACAAAAACCTAATAATGGATGTTTACTGGAAAAATTCCTTTTAAAATGGTGCAAGTAATATTAGAAAAGTCAGGGTTCAAATAATTTTGTCTATACCAGTACTTAGAACCAATCAGAGGGGGCGAATAAC